ACTAATTCAACGTATGTTCCCCTTAACTGCACCCCTTACTTGATGATGGTAAGGATGTCCCAACACCTTCGGTCATGTAGCATCATCTCTTTACCACGGACTAAGGGATTAGTGCCTCGAGATTCACTATTACTTCCCCCTTTTACCTCATTCAAGATATATTCTCTCATGAGGTACTCATTTCTCACTAGCCAACTGAAATTTAAGGTTGGAAATCCATTGGTAACATATCATATAGTGACGACAGACTTGAGGTACAACCTTAGCTAAGAGTAGAGTGATAACCTAAGTAAATTGTGGCCCATATATGTTGTGAGAAACTTGGTAACTTTTGTGTGGTGTTGTGAGAAACTTGGTAACTTTTGTGTGGTGTTTATCAAAACTCTTGAAATTAAAGGATTAGTTTCCTGCATTTTCTTTTCAATATCAGTCGCATGTCTAAGAATTTTCATCATTCTTCCTTAGATCCCTTCGTTTACTTTAATATTATTTTGGATCATAATCGGTGCATTCTAGATCAGAGTTAGGCGACGTACCTACGCGTTGGGCAAAAGACAAGGAAATTGGTGAGGTCGTTAGCACTAACCATCCTTATCTACACTCTCTTGATATATAAATGAGAATAAAAAATGTTTTGATAAACTTGTATTCCAAAGACTATACTTGTAGGTAAGGCACAATAATTAATGTATGTTGCAATTTTCTATAACAAATACGCACTAGATAATTAGCTAAACCAACGAGGTAAGGTTAGATTGTGATGCACGACAATGTCCATTGCAGCCACAAATATGTGAGAACATTGATGATCATCACCAACCATCCTTATCTCGCCACTTACTCGATAATATGAATTAAACTACATATTAAAAACTGAACGTTTTGCTAAAGTTGCCATTTCAAGACTTTAATTTTATGCACAATAATGTGCAGTTTTCCATGGCCAAGATTGACTAGAAAATTAGCTAATCTGATCCATTGAAGTCAATCTTGGTCTTGTCACGCATGCCAATTTTGATTAAAGCCACAAATATGCGAGAGAATGATATGGTTCGCCCCAACTACAATAGAATACAACGAGCTCCACCTGGTCGATCGTCTGTAAAATCGTCCACATGTTTCCTTTCCATAGCTAGGGGCGGTCCTAATCAACCAGTTGTTTCGGTCACGCATGGTACAGCGACAACTGCTGCAGCACTTGCCCCGCTCGAAAAAACCGTGAGAAAAGCATGGGCGCACTCGATGGTATACACGCTGTCAGGGCGATACGCCCATGCCGTGGCACGGTAGGGGAAGGAAAGTTCGATGACTTTACTAGAAAAAAAGGAGTTAGGCTACGAAGCGGCAACATTTTTTCATGTCCCTAGAGGGACAGGGGCGCGAGCATACGTGCAAATCCATACAATGGTGTGGGGAGTAGGGATGGTCATGTGTTCCGATACCTTTCGGCCCTGTTGCCTCCCAACTTCCCCGATTCAGATGATTTTGGCGATGCTGACGTGTGGACGAGGCCCCATGGCTGCGAGCTACTACGACAAATAACCCGTGGTTTTTTTAATATCAAATATTATTGACAGGTTTCTAAAAAACTTTTTAGGTAAACTGGGTTTTACAGATGTAATTTTTAGTAACCTGTTTATATTTATACAAAATAATGTGGTGGCCATTTTTTTTTTTTGTAAAATCAGCCCCGTCCAGTACCTATTTGGAGACGCATTCACCTTTCCTATTCCCCGTACCAAAAATTTGTAATCTACCATGCCTATCTCCTACCGGGAGCTGTG